ATGGCGACTACGTACTGCTACGGGGGGCTCTGCTGCTGTCCATGGAGAAGTAAACCTTAATTTTGTTATTGGGAGCACCAGTTTTGAACATCCAGTGGTAGTAGCAGATATCGAAGATGAACTTATTCTCGGAATGGACATCATGGCCACTAGAGGTTTTGAACTAAACTTCAAACAGGGAATTTTGAAAATAAATGAAGAAGAAGTGGTTCTACATCGAAAATGTGAGGAGACGCTTCGCGTGGTGGTAGCAGAAGATGTTTCGATCCCTGAGCGCTGTGAGATATTTTTGGATGGTTGCCTGGAAGATAAAATGAATAATGGGAGTATTATTCTGTTGGAGCCAAGGAACCATGACAGCGAAATAGGACGGGGGATCGCTGTTGGAAAAGCCCTGCTACGAGCGAAGAAAACTGTACCGGCGAGAGTAATGAACACAAATTATTATTCTGTATCCTTGAAGAAGGGAACCCTTTTAGGGTACTGTTGTTCGGCTCCTCAGTCATTCGAAGCGTGGAAGCCTCCAAGTTTCGACTTCAAAAATTCCGGACAAAATGGTGAAGGAGTTAGTAAACGTTAAAGGATTATCTCCCGAAAATAGTAGAAAATTGAGAAACCTAATAATCAAGTATCAAGACGTGTTTGATAAAGGAGAAGCAGGAGATAGAGGTCGTACCAATTTAGTACAACATAAAATTGACACCGGAGATGCACGACCAATCAAACAAAATCCGAGAAGACTTCCGCTCGCCAAACGTGAAGAAGCTGACAAAATCCTTCGAGAAATGAAAGAAGAGGGTGTCATCGAACCATCTAACAGCCCGTGGACATCGCCGGTAGTACTAGTAAAGAAGAAAGACGGTACCACCACGTTCTGTGTTGATTATCGGCAGCTCAATAATGTTACAAAGAAGGATAGCTATCCCCTGCCGAGGATAGACGATACTCTAGACACGCTGGCGGGGTCGACGATATTCTCTACTTTGGATCTGAAGATATTGGCAAGTCGACATGGCGCCAAGACAGAGAGGAAACAGCGTTCTCGGTGGGCTCCGGACTGTGGCAATTTACTGTCATGCCTTTTGGATTGTGCAACGCGCCAGCTACCTTTAAGAGACTAATGGAGTCTGTGTTAAAGGGACTATCCTGGACTACCTGTTTCGTGTACCTGGATGACATCATAGTGGTTGGGAAATCCTTTGACGATCATCTGAAGAATTTGGAAGAAGTTTTCAAGCGACTAGGGAGCTCTGGTTTGAAACTTAGCCCCAAGAAATGTCATCTGTGTCAAGAAAAGGTACACACTACTTGGGCCATGTAGTCTCCTCCCAGGGAGTTGCGGTAGATCCACAGAAGACCAAGACAGTGGAAGAGTGGCCGATACCCAAAGACAAACATGAACTACGAAGCTTTTTGGGACTATGCACATACTATCGCCGCTATGTACAAGGTTACGCCACCATCGCAAAACCATTGACCAGACTTACCGAAGACGAAAGGCGTTTCTCTTGGGACTCAGATTCTGACGAGGCATTCCGAAGATTGAAGGCCCTGACTAGTGCGCCCATACTTAGCTATCCTCTTGGCAACGGAAACTTTATATTGGATACCGACGCTAGCAATGTTGGGTTAGGCGCCGTTCTGTCTCAGATCCAGGATGGTCAAGAAAAAGTAATTGGTTATTTTAGTAAGACCTTGTCAAACCGGAAAGGAACTACTGTGTAACCAGACGAGAATTACTAGCAGTAGTTAAAGCAGTGGAACACTTCTACAAGTATCTCTATGGAAGAAAGTTCTTGTTAAGAACAGACCATGCTGCTTTGAAATGGCTGTTGCAATTTAAGAATCCTGAAGGGCAGGTAGCTAGATGGATTGAACGATTACAAGAATTTGACTTCCAATCTTGGCAATCCATCGAAATGCCGACGCACTTTCCAGAAGACCTTGCGCTAAGGACTGTAAGCATTGTTCCCGAGCAGAAGAGAAAGAAGTGAAACTCCTAAGAACAACTGTGGTTAATGATAGTTGGCAACCCGAAGATCTTGCAAATGACCAAACCAGTGACCCAGTTCTATAAGTCTTTTATCGTTATTGTTTTGTTAATTAGTGTTAAATAAATAGTGTTTAAATAAATTGTGACTTTCTATCCACACGGAACCGACGAAAAACGTAACAGTATTTAAGATTATTCCAAAAAACCTAATTTAAAAAATTTTAACATCCTGTAACTCTAAAACTATGCATTTCCATACCTATGTTTATAGGAACCTTTTTTTCATATTTTTTGATAAGGAATCAATGAATACTTATTAAAACTTTCGCAAGTTAATGATTGATGAAATTTTTTAAAGGTTGCTATTAGACTTGGATCAAGGCAAATTAATAAAATTCCGTTTATCTCATCAAGGAGGCCGAAACTGGCAAAATATCAAGAGACAACTTTTAATCGGCATTAAACTGCTTACAAAAGTCAGTAGCGTAAAGACTTTTTTTAGAAAAATATTCCAATAATAACCTAACCCATATGCACGTCCGTGGTGAATATGTCAACACTTTTTTAGCTTTACTATATGTCACATTTATAGTAACTTTTACTCTCAAAATTTCATTCGACACGCTAAAAGTATTTGGAAGATAATTATAATAAATCGAAAAAATATTAAGACTTTAACACACTGTAGCCATTGGCGTAACTACAGGGGAGCCCGGGGGTGCCGGGCCCCCCAGGTACTGCTGAGCACCCCCCAGATAAATCCTGACTTATCACTCTTGGCTACGTATTAATTTTTATTTGCTTGAGATGTAGTAAAAATTACGTTTTCTAGTTTTGTTTAGTTAATATTCTTTTGTTGTATTCAGAAAATGTGTTAAATTTATTTTTTTAGAAAATTCATAGGTATTTAAGTAATCTACGGGAACACGGTTTGATAACCAAGTCTATGAAATTTATTGATAGAGAAATTCATGTAAACGTTTTATTCAAAAAATGTGTTTTTTAAAATTATTTTTCATTTTTAAAAAAACAAAAGCCCTAGGCCCCCCCTGGGCTCAACACCAGGCCCCCCAGGATAAATTGCTAGTTACGCTAATGCCTGTAGCTACGAAACAAAGCAGAATCGTAGCTATGTTGATATGAAAAATAAATCTTATTTTTACGTGAGGAATCTCCCCACGAGAGATGGCACGTGTTTTTTTTAAATGCAACACCTTATATTTTATTTTATTTTTAGATACTTAAAATATACAGGGTGTTTCAAAAAACATGTGGCATCTCTCGTGGTGAGATTCCTCACGTAAAATTTAAAAAATTAGTTTAAAATTTTAATATCAACATAGGTCTGATTCTGCTTTGTTTCGTAGATACAGGGTGTTAAAATGTTATTATTTTTTCGATATATTATAATTTTCTTCCAAGTACTTTTAGCGTCTCGAATTAAATTTTGTGGGTAAAAGTTACTATAAACGACATATTTTAAAACTAAAAAAGTGTCGACATATTCACCAGCGGCGTGCATATGGGTTATTACTGGACTATTTTTCTAAAAAAGCATGTACGCCAGTGACTTTTTTTCTCTTGTTACTCTTGTTAGTGAAATAGTGTAAGCAGTTTAATGCCGATTAAAAGTTATCTCTTGATATTTTTTCCATTTCGGCCACCTTGATGAGATAAACGCAATTTTATTAATTTGCCTGGATCCAAGTCTAATAGCAACTTTTAATTTTTTTAATATCATTAACTTGCGAAAGTTTTAAATAAGTACTCTTTGATTCCTAATCAAAAATATGAATAAAAGTTCCTATAAACATGGGTATGGAAATGCATAATTTTAAAGTTACAATGTTAAAAAAATTTAAAATTAGGTTTTTTGTAATTATCTTAAATACCATTATTTTTATATATGAAATTACTGTAGGTTGGTCTAATAGTAATAATATCAAATGGTAATATAATATTTAATAATAAGTTAGGTAAAATATATAATTTATTAATTTTATTAATTGTGATTAATAAAATTGCTTTCATCATAAAATTTTTTTTCATCAAGGAGGCTGAATTCGAGACAATATCAAGAGATAAATTTTAATTGACATTAAACGGCCTACACAATTTTGATATCAAAAGAAAAAAAGTCAGTGGCGCACATGATTTTTTTGAAAAATATTCCAGTAATAACCCATATGCACGTCCCTGATTAATTTATCGACACTTTTTTAACATTAAAATATGTAGCACTTATAGTAACTTTTATCCTCAAAATTTAATTCGAATCACTAGAAGTATTTGGAAGAAAATTATAATATCCAAAGATTGTTAAGACTTTTTAGCTACGAAACAAAGCAGAATCGGACTTATGTTGATATGAAAAATAAATATTATTTTTAAGTGAGGAATTCCCACGAGAAATGGCACATGTTATTTGAAACATCCTGTATACCTAAAATTCATAGTTTTTGAAATATTTCAATTTGTTTCAACAAATATTAGATTTCAGATATCAGTGTGATAAAAATTGTCAGTGATGCCATTGTTTCTGAAGTTAGACAACTAAAATTTAGTAGGATAATTTTATAGAGATTTTATCAACGTTTAAAAAAAAACTAAAATAAAATTTTATTACGGTTTTATTAAAATGCAATTATCCAATTCCTATACAATGTAACAATAAACTTTATCGCGTTTAACAATGTAGATGCAAAAAGGGGAGGACTGTCTGTTCGCCTGCAATACATGAAAAAAATCCCAATAGAGGTAATTAGGCGCCCAAGAATGAACGGTAGACGCCATAACATTTCTATAGATCAGCAATATATTTTTTATTATAATTTAAGTTTCGTAATAACTTAGAATAAGGGGTGGGGCTAAATAAGTCGATAAGTTAGTTCACCTTACATCATTTATGTTAGTTGTCAATGTTCGTTTGAAGTGATCGTATCGTGGACTTATCCACGGTACGATTACTTCCATATATCTGTATCTTCGATATCACTTTGCATTATTTTGTTGCGTGAATTGTGAATGTGAAAGATAAACATGGTAAGTCTTTTATATGGTTCTCTACACTTATGTATTTAAATAGTCGAAGTTTTATTATACAGGGTGAGTCTTAAAATACGTGCAAATACACTACTGAAAACAATTATCGCATATTTGAATAAAAGTAATTATTACATATTTCTAAATGAAGCCTGTATTTTTCTGTCTTTCTCTTGCGAGTTTTTTTAGGATAATTAGGGAACGCATTGACATGTGTAACCAATATATCCTTAAGAAGTCGCGCTCACATGCAATCCAATATTTTTAAGTTAATAAGTATTTTTTGTTTTCACTTTTGCAACTAAAATGGTCGGCCGACCAGTGGCGGATACAGAGGGGGGCCCATGGGGCCCGGCCCCCCCCCCTAAAGTCTATAAATTGGGTTAAATATTCGGCTTTTAGGTCAAAAATGGCGCACTAAAAAGCTTATTCTACATTACGTTTTATTTTGAGCCCCCCCTAAAATAAATTCCTGTATCCGCCCCTGCGGCCGACTAAAAATTACACGTAAACTCGTAGGCTTATTGTTTCGAATTTCCCTTCACATTATCCAAACTATTTAAAACTGTAAGTCAGGGCATTCAAAGTTTCTTGTTTTTCAAACTAAGATTTTTTTTAGAAAATATGCCATAATTATTTTGAGTAGTTTAGTTTTAGGGGTCTTTATTTCAATCCCTGAAACACTTCTATGAGGGTTTTTTTCGAGATTTTTTTTTAAATTTGCGATTTTTTGAATTTTCTTTTTATTTAGAAAATTATGTATAACAATTTCTTCACAATGTGACAACATTATGTAGTAGATTAAATATACCTACAAGAAATAAAACCCAGAAAAGATGCAGTGGTTCTTGAAATTGAAGCGAAAATTCTTGAAATTTAAGCGAATTTTTTATTTAATTTTAAGTAAAATACCTCGGTTGTTTTGGAGTCACATATTTGAAAAACGGTAAAGAGAAAATATGTTTCTTTTATCGAGATCTACCAGCCCTGAAAATATTTGCACTTATTTAAGACTCACCCTGTATATCTAGAGTTAGTAAAATTTTATTTTATAAAGTTGTTGCACAAATTTGAAAACATTTATCATACATGCATTCATGCATACCGATTTGGTCATCGAAATTTGTGGGTCTGAATTTTAACGTGTAAGCAGTGATGTAGACAGTAATGGAAAATCAAATCAAATGTATTAAAAAGAGATAAAAATTGGGTCGACACATTTCTTTTATGCGGTGTTGCCGGATTTTGCATCAAAATTTCAAACCACACAAGTAGGCGTTTACGAAAAATGTTGCATCTAGGGTTGAATTTTACTTTTCACTATTAATTACTTATTTTACTACAGCTGTAATAGATTATATTTAGTTTAGATATATTATCATTTCAGTAGAATACATGAAAGTTTCTAAAGTAGCTTATGTTTTTCTACACACATTTTCCTACAAACGCAAAAAACCGGCAACACTGTATGCCGCTTTTGATTTTGTCTCTCTGTCTGTCAATCGGTCCCTTATATTATTCTCTGTCACACGCATTAAAATCCAGACCACATAAATTGGATGACTAGCAGGGTATAAGAAGTATTCATCAAGTCAGTTATCCTTTACTTTTATAAATGTTTATAGGCACTTCAGTAACTCTTTGCACATATTAGTTACTGTTTAAAGCATTTTTTTTAAATGCATAAAAATTTTGTATTTATCGTTGATTCTAAGCTATATGTTTCATTTTGTTATTGAGTAATTCATTAATAAAATAATAGGTTTTATTTTCAAAAACAAATCCGACATTTCTAAAAATTTAGATTATAATTAAGATTATAACTACAAAAATTCTATTTTTTAGTTGGAAGTTACATATTATGAATAGGCTCTATCATTCAAAAATGTAAAATCTTTATTTTCTTTCTACTTCAAAACCATTATTGCAGGGTGAGTCTTAAATAAGTGCAAATATTTTCAGGACTGGTAGATCTTGATAAAAGAAACATATTATTTTCTCTTTACCGTTTTTTCAAATAAGTCGAAAATAACCAAACATATTAAAACACAAAAGAATTTGTTTACGGTTTTCCTTCATCGGACATTATTCTATTCTTATTTTCCCATCTCTCTTACACCGAAATATCTGCCAGATTTACCTGCATAGGTATTGGTTGCGAATTATTAGTATTAATATAATTGCGAACAATTAGTGTTCGATTAAACACCACCACCAATAATTATGAAGTAATAAATAATTTCGTTATATTTGTATAATACAGGGTGTCATTGAAATGGTGTAAAAAAAATCAGAGGGTGACTGTACTCCTAAAAATAGTAAAAAAGTTCCTATAAATATAGGGCGGAAAATGCATATTAAGGGAGTTACGGGCACTGAAAGGGTGAATTTAAAAAACGGTTGTTTTGAAATTGCAGGCTAAAAAAACGAGATAAAATTTCGAAAAAAAATCCTCTCCCATTTTGACCCTAAATCAAATGGTGATACTGAAAAATTATTTGGAAAAGCGAAAAGGGTAGTTTTTGCAAGGGTAGGGGGTTATTTCATGATAACTTTTTTGATGTTATCTTTTTTGCAACGTGTGTTCATTTTTTGAAAACTACATACTTTTTCCTACAAAAAAGGTACTCTTGTTGTACATCGCCCAGAGCGATGGTTTTCGAAAAAATTGAAGGCAAAGAGTTTGCTCTGATGTGTTGCTAACTGGTTAATCAACATAAACTTATGAAAGTTATGGCGGTTCAAAAGTAACCAAATAGTTATTAAATAATTAATTGGAAAATCAAAATTTCATGATTTTTAAAACATCTTATTGCTTTAAAAACGAAATAAACCAATTACCAAAATTCCTTATTAAAATAATGCCTTCCTTAATTCATTCATAGTAAATGTTTAAAGTGACCACCATTCATTTCAATGCAGACATCTGCTCCAAGATCTGCGTACCTTGTGGAATATCCTTGATGTTGTCCAAATTTGATTGGAACAGTCAATAATGCGTTGCCGTAGTTGCTCTTCAGTATTAATCGGCACTGAGTAAACCAAAGCTTTCAAGTGGCTCCAGAAGTAGAAATCTAGTGGATTATTTCGTTTTTTAAAGCAATAAGATGTTTTAAAAATCATGAAATTTTGATTTTTCAATTAATTATTTGATAACTACTTGGTTACTTTTGAACCGCCGTAACTTTCATAAGTTTATGTTGATTAACCAGTTAGCAACCCATCAGAGCAAACTCTTTGCCTTCAATTTTCTCGGAAACCATCGCTCTGGGCCATGTGCAACAAGAGCATGAACGGTAAACTAATAGGATTGCTCATCCTCATAAGACGTACGTTTGCCTCTTCCCGCGCCTCAGCTGACAGTTGTGACGTCATTGTAGTCCTTGTCAAAGCCTTCGTGGCCTTGTCATGATAGTGTGTATTATTAGTTGCTTATGGTAAACTTATAAAAATAACAGCTGAGAAATTTTGAGTTAATTATTTTGTCAATTTTAAATGTGTAAAAAGTGTCTTTAAAGTTTTTAGAGCTATAGAGTGTATAAATACGTTCATTTTGTGTTGTGGATTGTGACAAAGTGCCCACGATTTTGTTTATTAATTATTTTAAAGCAAAATATAGACTCTAAAAAGAATGCTTGCAAAAGGTGATGCTGGGAACTGCTGTTCTTAAAAATGCATTATCCGAGTTTTTAATACGATTTATACAGTTAATTTTCTATACTGCATAAAATAAATATAAATAAACTAAAAAATGAACGTTTTGCATTCGGCAACCAATAATGCACGTGTGTGTATTATCGGTTGCCGGATAAGGTCTAATAACCATGACAAGGACTACAATGACGTCACAAAGCGAGTAGTTTTCGCATGCACCTGGCGGACACTTTTGGCTGAATGAGCAGTCCTATTAGGTTAACTGTTCTTGCAACAAGAGTACCTTTTTTGTAGGAAAAAGTATGTAGTTTTCAAAAAATGAACCAACGTTGCAAAAAAAATAACCTCAAAAAAGTTATCTTTAGCAATTTATTATTATAAATACAGCGTGTTTCAAAAAACATGTGCCATCTCTCGTGCGGAGATTCCTCATATAAAATAAGATTTATTTTTCATATCAACATAGGTCCGATTCTGCTTTGTTTCGTGGCTACAGGGTGTTAAAGTCTTAATATTCTTTCGATTTATTATAATTCTCTTCCAAGTGTTGTTAGCGATTCAAATGAAATTTGGATGGTATAAGTTACTATGAATGCTACGTATTTTAATGCTAAAAAAGTGTCGACAGATTCACCAGAGGCGTGCATATGGGTGAATATCCCTGTAATATTTTTCAAACAAAAAAAAGACCATGTGCGCCACTGATTTTTTTCTTTTCATATCAAAATTATGTAGGCCGTTTAATGCCATTACCTCCCCACATATATCCATAAAATATTTTGTTTCTACATCTTTCCGTTTTCGTATAATCAACCGAGGCGAATGAGGTGCGCCACACTGTATATGATGACTCATTCATTACATCCAAAAAAATGGCGTCTAACATCACAAATTTTGCTGCAGTCAGTATATGGGCGTTACGTGAGCTCCATCACGTTGGAACCCGCTTTAAAGCAAACTTTTGGTTTTTTGGCTTATCAACTACAAACGATGCAATTGATTGTAATAAATTCAATTTTTTTGTAGTACTAATAATTCCAAGAAACTTTCATTTTTTTTATTAATTAATATATTGTTTTATAATATTTTTTCTCTTTATTAGATTGCGCTCAATTTTTTACTTTTTCTGGCTAATTATTAGTACTACAAAAAAAACTGAATTTACTACAATCAATTGCATCGTTTGAAGTTGATAATAAGCCAAAAAACGAAAAGTTTACTTTAAAGAGGGTTCCAACGTGACGGAGCTCGTTAACTGTCCTTGTATTCCTTAGTCATTGGTATCTCGGTTATTTTATAACTATAAACCCTCGAAAATAAACCCTCGAAAAGATGGAAAAATTCAG